CCCCCCCCCCCCCCCCCCCCACGACCTGGCCTCCCACTTGACCATCCATCCATTTACCAGCCTTTTGGCCACCCGTCTCACCCCCCCCCCCCCCAAAAAAAACCCCCCCCCCCCCTCGTTCCCCCCCCCCCCTGTTGTGAGTTTCCTACTCAAGCCCCAGGCCTGGCCCAGGACACTGCCCCCCACCCCAACCCTCCCCCAGGCCCAGCCCCTGCAGACCTTCCCTCCCTCCCCAGTCAAAGGAATGAGGCCAGGCTGCAACACATCACTTTATTCTGTATGCTACCCTAAGCCCCGGCCCAGGCAGGACAGTTACTCACACATCAGCACAAGTACGAACACAGATGAAGCGGGCGTGTGGGGGCAAAAGGCACCCTGGGGGGAGGCTCTACCAGAGCTGGCCTCCTCAGCTCAAAGCCACACTAGCCTAGGCCCACCAAGGGGAGTTTCTGTAGTCTTCCCTCCTCCTCCAACCCACCAGAGCCCTGAAGACAGCCCCTGGGCCCACAGCTGGGCAGCTGCTTCAGCCGCTCCTCCCACCCCACCCAGCAGCTACAGAGCCTTTCCGCTGGGCCCAAGGCCTCTCTGCCCTAACATCCCCTCGGAGCAGCTAGAGGACTGATGTGAGATGAGCACCTACAGTCAGGAAGGTAGCTAAAGAGGCCACCGGGGCCCAGCACCGCCAGCCCTGCCTCCTTCCCACTCCTCTCGCTGGCCTGGGTTACGCCAACCAGGGCAGGGCCCACTCCTGCCGCTGTGGGGAAGAACAGCCAGAGACCATGGCCTCCTGGGCCTTCACCATGATGACAGGAGGGCCGCCCCCCCCCCCCCCCCCCCCCCCCCCCCTTCCTCTGGACATTGGCTTAAGCCGGACAAAGGCCAGAGAAGCTGGACAAAGATCTGCTCCGAGCCTTCCCAGCAGCCTTTGCCAGCGCTCACAGGACAGCAGGGACAGGTGAGAGCAGGATGGGCATCTCACAGCCCCCAAAGCCAGTGCTAGCTGGCAGTCCAAGGCAGCTCCTCCAGAGACCAGCTCAGAACCCTGCAGACACACCCTGAGCCCAGGGCCTGCTCCCAGGACCCCCTTGTGCCAAGCAGAAGATAAACCTAAGCTATGGTGAAGGGAAGAGTGGGTGACCTGGGGTATCCCTCAACTCCCTCCTCGGCATTTTGGTCCATTAGTGAAGCCTGGGCTGCAGCCCTGGGCAGGGCCCGAGCCCAGCAAGTTGAGAGGAAAGGTTAGGAGCCAAGGGGACCCAGGCCTGTCTTGGAACCCACTGAGGCCCAGAAGAAAATGGCTGCTCAGGGCCCTCGACAGGCCCAGCTAACAAGGTGACCGGACCGGGCTAGAAGGGAGACAAGTAACAAGGGACGCCTTTCCTGGCTCAGCTCTCGTCTTCACTGGGGAGAGGGAGGAGCTGCTGAGAATGCTCCAGTCCAGAGTCCCGAGAAGCTCCTACTTACTTTGGCCAGGTAGGACAGGGCTCCTTCCTCCAGACCGCCCTGCTGAAGGGCCGAGCTCAGGCCCCAGGACAGCAGAGGGTCCCAGCCCGTCAGCTCCTTCCACAGAGCAGAAAGTCTGAGGCCAAGCGGATGCCACCACAGGAGACAGTAGGCACACGGGTGCTGCCTAGCTCTCCTCCTCTGGGAGTCATTGACCAAGAAGGGTCAGGCCCCGGGTCACCAGGTCTGCCTCTCCCAAGCTGCCCTCCCCACACTATGCTTCGGGCCCCTCCCAGGCAGCAGAGCCTTCCCCGAGATTCCTAGTGAGAGGAAGCAGCCAGCAAGCTCCCCGAGCCAGCTAAGGACGCCACGCTGCACCCAGGACAGGTGGCAATGGCCCGGGGAGATCCAGGCAGGCCAGCGTGAGGAGAGGGCAGGGAACAGCGTTTAATGAAGGGGCCCCCGTCCGACTCCACGAGCAGGCTCCCCGAGGTAGGCCGATGCGATCCACAACCGAGACGTCGTTAAAAACCCCACAAACCCGGCCCGGCCAGGGCCAGCAGGCCCAACGAGAGCAGCGAGTCCCCTCAGCGTCCTGAGGGAGGCGGGAAGGGCGTCTTTGGTGGAAGTGATGACAGACACACGCACTCGTCCTCTGGGCCTGGGCAGGGGCTCTCAGTTCATAAAGTTCGTGGGGGACAACGGCAGAGGCCCGGCCTTTTGGTGACTAGACGTGGTGGAGGGTTTGCAGAAGGTTGTGGCGGGCAAGGGAGCAGGACTCCAGGGCCCGATTGGGCCTGCAAGAGACAGGGAGAAACAAAGGGAAATTAATGGAGTGCGATCAGAGCCAAAGGAGCCTCCCTTGGCTGCTGAGCCAGAGGTGGGCGGAGGTTGCTGTCCCAGAGGCCCAGGCAGGCCTGGGTCAGCGGGTGGCCCTGATAAAGGCTAATTAGGAGGCGCTTATGAAATAAATGCTCCTAATTCCGTAGCAGCAAGTCTAAGGGTTACAAAGAGCTTTCTTCACAGCAACCCCGTGGGGGAGGGGGCGCCAAACCTCCCCCACCCCCCAGATGAAGAAACCGAGATCATGTAATGTGCCCAGGGTGCAGGGCCTGGATGCAAAGCATGCCTCAGACAGCTAACAACTTTGGAGGTGAGAGCAGAGTAGACAGGAGACAGAACTGCTCTGTACGTCAGACTGCACACGCTCCTGCTCATGGCGGCTCCTGTCTCTCCTGACGCCAAGCCCCGCACTGGCCACTGGCCCACGGTGTCTCCCTGACCGAGCAGCCAGGGCACAGGACTCTGGCCCCGCCTGAGGCCCGGGAGTCACGGCTGCTGAGTCATTTCCTGGGCGTCCTGAATCCACACAAGCTCAGTGCATCTTCCTAATCCCCCCACCTCTGTGGTGCTGCACAGAGCCTGGGGCCAGCAGACCGGCTTCTCTGTCCAGGGCATCACCGCCCTAGCCTGCCAGTCACTCCTGTTTGCCGCCTCCTGGCATCCTGGACTCTGCTCTCCCTCCGGTCTGACACCAGTCTGGTCCAGTCTGTCACCTCCACCTTCTACCTGCCCCCCGGCCTGGCTGGGGGTCTCTCCCTGGTCCCCTCCCCTTCCCATCTGAGCACTACCATCTTTCTGCCCCACTTAACTTAGTCCGAGGGAGCCTCCTCTCCCCGTCCTGGCCGCCCACGCCCTGCCTCCAGCCTGGTGCCCAGAAACTCCCTTTGACGTTTGTCCATGACGTCTGCTGGACCTGCCGCTTCTCACCACCTGCCCTGCCCAGTCCTGCCCTGCTCCGGTCACTGAGGGCCAGGCCTGGCACACTCATACACCCTCTGGGGGCGGGGGCTCCAGTGCCAGAGAAGAGGGGAGCTTTACCTCTGGGGCACCATGAAGATGAAGAAAACTAATTAGATCGAGATATTAAACAATTATTAAATGATTTTAAAAATCCATTTATGGATCTGGCTAAGAGCTCCTTGCCCAGAGGACCAACTCCAAACTCCGGTCTGGCATTCGAGGCTCTTCACAATCTGGCTTTGAGGAATTCTTCACTGAAGGAAGGGAGGGCCCTTGGAAAGGCCAGCTAGTCACAGGGAAGAGGTGGCTGTCCTGACAGCCATCAGCTGAGGACCCCACTCTCACGAAACAGGCGCTCTGGGGGAGGGTGGCCAGCAGCATGAGTGCTGGACCCTGAAACGGGAAGGAGACACCGGGGCTCACACACATGTGGGCCCATCCCCTCATCTTCCTCCTCTGTGAAATGGTGACGAACATGCTAGCCAGGCCTACCTGTTAAAGGTAATGCTCTTGCCACCACGCACAGGCCACGAGAGCCCAGACCTGACTCAAAGGGAGGGGTCGACGAGCGTGTCTAACTACTTACAATTCCACCCAACAAAGACTTCCTCCAGACCTGTGTCAGGCAGAGCACCAGGATCTGAGGGAAGGCAGAGCAGGCCTTGGGGGCTCACTGGGGCTGCAGCCACACAAACTCTCCAGAGCCAGCTCTCCACTCGCTGTGTGAGGATTGCCCCAGTCTGTCTGTTCCTGGGAGAGCCCAGGCCTTGAACCTTCTGGATGTGCCTCTGAGGCTCCTGCCTGAAGAGCTTCCCTGGACTGGACTGAACCACGCCCCAGAGGAGGTGTGCGGGGGTGCCGAGCGCACACTGTGGGGCCATGCCCAAAACAGACACTCTTTGGCCCCTGCCCCGCTGCCTGAGCTCACTCCATAGCCCTCTCTGCTGTCCCCAAGGCACAGAACAGGCTCACTGGACGTGGTCACCAAGGCCAGGAGTGCACGGCACCCCCACCCACTGGACGCGGTCACCAAGGCCAGGAGCGCAGGGCCTGAGGACCACGGCACCCCCGCCCACTGGACGTGGTCACCAAGGCCAGGAGCGCAGGGCCTGAGGGCCACGGCACCCCCACCCACGGGACGTGGTCACCAAGGCCAGGAGCGCAGGGCCTGAGGACCACAGCACGCCGACCCTGCCCCCAAACACCCCCGAAGGCCCCAGGGCAGCTGGCCGCTCAGACTCACTTGGTCACAAAGGCCAGGAGAATGGGTGTCAGGGCCTTCGGGAAGTAGTCCTGCTGGGCCATGTGGTTGAGGGCCATGAGGGGGCCGTAGAGATTGGGGATTGCCTTGATCTTGTCCTCGCTCTGCAGGAAAGGTCACACCCGAGGGCAGGGTTAGCCTTGCTGGAGAACCAGACACCGTCCGGTTCAGCACACCTCTCTGCTGACGCCCAGACGGGCCGCTGCCGAGGCCTGTGATCCCCAGGCCAGGAGCAGTCCGGTCCACAAGCACCTTGGAAAACACCTGACACCCCTCCTCAAACTAAGGTATGCCTTTCCCATCCTCTGTTCCATGGCCCATACCCCAGGGACAGCCATGCACTGATGGGGAGGGGAAACCCTGCCACCAACCAAGGGACGGGGAGGCAGGCCAAGTGCCCCCTCACAAAGCAGCGGCCCCAGGCTCCCGGGACCCCACACTAGAGGGGAAGGATCCCGATGGGTCCATGGAATAGGGACGGAGGCTGAGCACACTTGGTTAGAATGGTGCTAGGTAACCCAGCCTGTCTGGGCCTCACCCTTCCCCACTTCTAAGGGCCTAACACTTTTTCCCCTTCTCACCTTGAGAAGCCCCATGTGTATTAAGAGCCTGGTGATGAAGGCATTGGAGTTGAAGGTGGCTGAATCAAAGGCTTTCTTCATCAGGGCATCTGGAAGATGGGTACAGTGAGGTATGCTGGGGCCTTGGGAGGGCCCCCAGGAGGGGCTACACTCTGGCCAGCGCGGGGGAGTCGGCCCCCAAAGCCTCCAGCGGCACTGAGGGTGGCTCACAGGACAGGGAGAGGAGGAAGCCCGAGGGCCAGATGGGCAAAGGGGAGGACATCGAGAAGAGAAAGGGGCCCCGGGCACAGGCTGCGCCAGGGTCCTTGTTCTTACCCCGTCCCTCCCAATGCATACAGTGGGCTTGGAGCCATCCTGGTGGCTGTTGGGGAAGCTGTCCCTACTGGGCCCACGGGCAGCTCTAATGGCCCCTCGCTACCTTTCAAATCCTCCACCCTTATCTCCTACTCCACAAACACTTGGCATTTAAACCACGTTAGTCTCCACATGGCCGTCTCTTGCGTCCCCTCCAAAAACCATCCCACTCGGGTGGGAGGCAGGTGGGATGAGGGGCTGGGAGCCAGAAAGCCGGCCAGCAAGTGCTGGCTCTCTGGCGCTTGGCCACTTCTCTGGGGACCTCTGGCCCATGGACCGGCTGGTAAGCCTGTTGCTCTAACGGCTGGAAGGCGCGGAGAGGCCCTGCCCAGGGTCCAACAGCCACTGCTGACGCCTGACCCCGAGACCCCCGCCTGCCTCCACTGCACCTCCTCCTCAGGCCCACGGGCCTGGCTCCTCTCCACGGATGGAGGGAAGCCCCAGAGGCCACGCTCGCTCGGTCTCACAGCAAGGACTGGCTAGGGAGCCAAGTAATTCCTGGGTGCGGGGCACTGTGGGGAGGACAGGGGCACACGGTGCCTGCCTGCAGATCACATGAAGTCGGGAATAAGGTGTGGGCCTTATTTCTCCAGCCAGACTTCCGTCCTGGCTTTGTGGAAAGATCACTAGAGCAAGAGGCAGCCAAGATCCAGGCTCGAATTTTGGCTTCCACACTTGCTATCCCTTGGACTCACACCTCAACTTCCTCATCTAGAGAATGGGTGTAAGAATCAGGGTTGTAATGTCAAAGCTCCAGAGCCAGGAGCTGTTCTGGTAGCTAGCGCCCAGTGCCCACGAGCACGGCCTGAGCCACGCCAGGCTGCCTGCCTGCTGCTGACCGCCTGGCAGCTGGCCGGTACCACCTGCCAGCAGTCAGACACCTCCCAAAAGCTCTTCCTTCCCACCAGCCTGGGGGCACACTCACCCACTGCCTCCTGAACGGCTGTCTTCACTGCCAGCTCATCCTTGAACACAGAGGAGACCTTCAGGAAAGCCGAAACCACCTTTTCTGGATCAGATGTATCTGTCTAAAAGGGAAGAGGGACAGTTGGAGCTTTGGACCAGCAACCAGGACTCCTGGTTCTCTAAGGAAAGGAGCCTGGCCTTGGCTCTGAACCTCAGTTTCTCCTCTTAAAGGAGGCCAACCTGTCCGATCTTTCTACTTCCTTCCGGCCCTCGGTCTAGGAGTTTCCATGGCTGAGGTCCCCTAGCCGTGACCTTTGAAGGAGGCTGCCTCTCTGTATCCTCCCAGAGGCCCATCCTCAGAGGTGCCTGAGAGCTTACACTGCGAGTGACCTGGACCCACACCAGCCGTGGGTCCTCTCTATGCCACCCGCGCCATGCAGATGCTGGGAAGGATCAGCCCACTGGGTGAAACCCAAAGGCATCTGGTACTCTAGCGATGGGGACGTGTACTCCTAGGCTGTGAGTTCCCTGAGGACGGGAGTGTAGCCTAAGAGCCCCAAGGGAGCACAGGGATCACGTGGCCCGCGGGGTTTCATCTGACAGATGTCTGGATGACACAGAGTAAGGAGAGGGACCCTCTGCTTTCTCCGACGCACCAAGTCCACAGGTACCGAGGGAGCAAGGCTGGAGGGCGCCTACGGGTCGAGGAGATCACCTGCCCCTCCCGGACAAGCAAGCAGGGAGCCTAGCGAGGGGACAACTCTGATGGACGCCCCGCACCGGGACGGCTCGGCTTTGCCTGTTCTGTGGCCCTGACTTGCCGGTCTCATCACCTTCACCCAAGCTCTCCGGGCAGGAAGCCGGGGCCCCATTACCTGCTGGGCTATCAACACGGAGCTCTTGGGCCCAAGACGCAGAAGCTTTTCCGGAGATGGGAAAGCGAGGAATGTGGAGATGTCGGGTGGAGAACACGGCACAGAAGTAGGTTCCTACAAACGGATGGAGGCCACCAGGCCGAGATGAGCGGCTGGGACGCTCAGTGGACGGCGCAGGAGCCCCGGGGCTGGCCTCAGACCAGCACCCAGATGCCTCCAGCTGGGTGGGACCCCCCCTCCTCCCCCCAGGGCCAGCCCAGCCCCCCACCAGCCGCACGGTGGCCTCATTCCTTCCTGGGCCCCAGGCGGCTCCTGCCAAACTTAAGAACGTTCTTCACATTTCCAGGTGTGCCCAGCCCATTTGCCCAGCTGAACCTCCATCTGGCAGGCACAGGGACGCACTGGCCTGGGGTTCGAGCTGAAAGCCCTGACTCCACCGTCCGTGCTCCCTGTCCGCCCCCCGCCTTGGCAGGCCATCTGACTGGGGACCGCCAGGAGGACACTGAGTTTCCAGTCTGAGACCCCAGCTTCTCGTCTCCCCCAGAGCTGAACTGGAAGCCTGAAAAGGGCCAAAGTAGCATGCCCCAGATGATGGGGGGCCCCCGGTGGTCAGGGTGGTGATGCCCACAGCATGAGCTGGTCTCTCCACCAACCAGAAAGCATTCAGTGCAAGCTGACCATGGGCCAGACCCCAGCCCAGCCTCCTCTTATCCCCGAGTCACTGGGGATTACCCCAACGGGCGCATCCAGAAGTTTTGTGGGGGTCGGGGTCACCTCTCCTTGGCCTCGCTCAAGCTCCTCCTCCTCCTCTTCCTCCTCCTCCTCGTCCTCCTCCTCTTCCTCATCATCCCCTTCATCATCACTGCAGAGACAGCAGACGAATCCTGCCCTGCCCTGCCCCCTAGGTGACCCCTGAGGCCCTTCCCTGCTCCCCAGGTGACCCCCGAGGCCCTGCCCTGCCCCCCAGGTGACCCGAGGCCCTGCCCTGCCCCCCAGGTGACCCTTTAGGCCCTGCTCCCAGGTGATCCCTTAGGCCCTTCCCTGCCCCCTAGGTGACTCTTTAGGCCCTGTCCCCCCCCCACCTGAGTGAGGCCAGTGTGTGGGCCATGCTGAAGCCTTCCAGGATCTCCTGAAGCTGCTCACAGCCTTCCTCTCCCAAGGTATTCCCTGTGGCAAAGCAGGGAAAATGAGGCCCAGGGGAAGCCAAGCGATTCTAGACCCAAGGCCAGAACACTAAAGTCTGAAGAGCGAATGGCTCCTGTGAGACTAAGAGGAGGAGTGGATGCTCCAAGCCCGAGGGCCTGGGGTGGGGTGGGGGGAAGATGACCTGGCACCTCGAGGCTGGGCGTCCCCACACTCCACCAGGCACACCCCCTACCATTGAGATCCAACTTTTCCAGTTCTGATTTGTCCTCGACGGCCTCTGCGATAGCCAGTGCGGAGTCTCGTTTGATTTCACAGAAGGACAAGTTCAGCTCCTGAGACCCAGCAGGGAAGGTTGTCAGCCGTTTATGTTCCCATCAGGTCAAGGAGATTTCCCTTGAATTAGGGCAAGCGACTGTTCGCGCCCCCCCAACACCCCGGCTCAAATCCCCGGCAGGGGTGAGAAGCGTCCAGCAGCCCCTTGAGAAAAGGAAGCAGGGACCCACCTTCAGCCTGTGCAGCCCCTCCTTCACGGCTTCAGCGATGGCCAGGGCCCCTCGGGAACGTACCAGGCAGTCCCCAAAATTGATCACCTCCACCTGCCTCAGGACCTTCAGGGTCTGGGGACCAGACACAAGACACAGTGTGGGTGCAAAGGGAAGCGGAGGGTGGCGGTCCTGACCCAAGGCCCACCAGAGACCTTCCTACATATGGCTGGAGGATGGCAGGAGCCTCAGACAAGCCCTACCCAGCTCCTCAGGGGCCCTGATCAAGCCTCAGTTTCCTCCCCGGTCAGATCTGCCATGGGTAATTGGTCTTTACCCGCAGGCCTCATGCAGCACTTTGACGTAAGTCATTATAACAGGAAGATGTTTGTGTGTCGCTGCCTTTGGCCTGCTGGACCCTGTGTTCCAAGAGGGCAGGAGGCGTGTTCTGCCTCCCACAGAGCCCACCAGTGCCCCCCACCCCGTGGGAGCCCCAGGGGCGGCCCGGCCACCGCCAGCTCACCTCGGCCATGGCCACCGCCCCCTTCTCGGTGAAAGTGTTGTCATTCAGGTTGATGATTCTCAGCAGGGCGTTGGCAGCAAAGGCCTGAGCCAGCGCCATGATCCCAGGGTGGTTGATCCCATTCTGAGGCATGTGGATTTCCTCCAGGGTCCCAATGATCTGTGTGAGAGGCGAGGGAAAGGAAAGATGGGGAGGGTCCTCGAGGAAAAACACTGTCAATGTGGAAATAGAGAATCCCGTAGCCGCTGACGCGCGGGAGGATCTTCCTGGCGCTACCGATGTCGGTGCACGGCCAGGAGGCTTGGGTTCGGGCCAGATCTGGAGCTCGGCGGCCCTCTCCCTGCCGGTCACCCTTGCCACCACCTTCTAGCCGTGGCTCTGGCAGTACCGCCAGGGCTTCCAGGAAGGGGGCGGTCTCCACCTGCTCTCTGCCTCTACTGCCTGGGATCCTCGATGCCTGTCACAGCAGGCAATTTAATAAATGCTTTTCACCAGCTGGTTCGTGTCCAGCCCCTTCATCTTACGGACTCCAAACCCAACACTCAGGCTGACATCCCTTTGGGCTCCAGCTCAGCTGTCTCATCAGTAAAATGGGAACAGGGCTACCTAAAGGCAGTTGTGGGCGGCTCCTGGCCTACTGCTCTCCCCCGTCTCTTCCGTGCCCCCGGTGGACGTGCCACACGATGAGACGCTACCTTCCTATCTGCACCCTCCCCAGGACCCAGGTGCGAGGCAGGTCCCTCAGATTCCTGAGCATTCACACGACTGTCTGGGCCTGGCTGTGGGGCGGCCCCCACCCACCTGTGGGCCAGCCTGAGCCCCTCCGCAGGAGTCACTCACCCCAAACGCTTCAGCCAAGGCTGTGGCACCGTCATTCTCTAGGCGGTTTCTGCCGGCCACAAAGACCTTCAGGGCCAGCGGCTTGCCCAGGGCGCTGGATTTCTGGTGGCACTCAGTCAGAGCCGCTGCCAAGATCTGCAAGAGAAATGTGGGGTGCCGGGGTCTCTTCCTACCTCCCGCATCTCTCCCTGGCACTGAGGAAGTCAGGGGACTCCGGGTCAGACTCTGCCCCTGCATTTGCTGCGTGACCCTCTGGGCAAGTTGCTTGATCTCTGGGCCTCAGTCCTCATTTGTAAAATAAGGCAGTTGGATGGTGTTTTCTGAGGCCTTTTCACCTCTTGCTTGGACCACTACCCTTCATCCTTCAATCCTGGCTATGCCCCACCCTTCTCCAATAAGCTCACTGGCTGTTACCTCTAGGATCAAATACGGAGTCCTCTGTGAGGCCGCCCCACTCCCCCCCTCCCCCCCGCCCTCTTGTACCCCCCCCCCCCCTTTTAACCCCCCCCCCCCCCCCCACCTACATTCAGCTTGCTACTCCTCTATATCTCCCATCTCTGGGCCTTTGCCCCGGCTGTGCCCTTTGCCAGGCATGTTCTCCCTTTTTACACACCACCCCCCCACCCCGGCTTCTCAGGCTTTCTTCCCGATTTGGCTCAAATCCTGCCTTGGCAAGAGGCCTTGCCAGGTTCCCCCAGCTGCTAGTGCCTTCTTCTCTCAGATTTCCTTCCATTTAGTATATGTGCCCCCAGTTATTTACATGTCCCCAGTATTACATGAAAAAACAAGCATTAGGGACTGCATTCTGTCCTTTATCCACCATTTTCCGAAGTTAAGTTCCAAACTCCACGTAAGTCCCCTGATTTTGGAGACTACACAAGTATGCCCCCGGCTCCACTGTCACCCAGCCACAAAAACACCCCTCGCTGGAGAGTTTCCCAATTCCCGGCACCACCAAGAAACCAGGAGCCTTCATCCCTCTGTCCTGTTTTTAACTCCCTCCAAACTGTGAATTAACTTCTGGGTCCTTGGCTACCGACAGCCTTGGTCCTGGTTTATTTCACAAACCGCGTGCATTGCCTGATCAATCACCGTCTGGACGTAACTGCTCAGTTTCTTTATTCCACCATGACACCGCCCCCGCCCCCCAGCCCGCCATTAGATTGTGAGCTACCCTGTTTCATCCTTTCTTTGTATCCTCAGTACCAGGCACACAGTAAGGGCTTAATAAATGCTTGCTGACAGAATAATTTCCCAAAACTCTGTGCTCAGCACACCTCCCAGAATCTCTTCCCAGCTGCCCCTCCCCCTCCCCCCCACCCCATGGACACCCCTGCTCTTCCCCCAACGGAGTTTATAAGGAGGACACTCTAGACTTACTTCACCCTTACACCGCACCCCAGAGGGGTGCAAAGAGGCTGCCAGCCAAAGAGGGGCGGGCTCAGTGAGCCAGCCTCAGGGGAGGGTGACTTACTACCCAGCTCCCACCAAACGTCAGCATTCCAGGGACCACTGACTGCCCCGCCCTCGTCAGCGAGGGGCCTGGGCTCCCCTGAAATCCTCCCTGAGCACAGGCTTGCCCGATGCACACGGCGGGCACACAAAGCGCTTCTCTGCTCCTCCCTCGTCTGTGTGCTGGGCTGAAGCGTCACCACCTACCTTGCCACCACCGATGCCCATGCCACAGTTGTTAAGCTTTAGCTCCTGCAGCGTGAAACAAGCCGAGCTCTTGAGCAGGGCCTCGAAGCCCCGCACGCCGTCCGGCCCAAAGGCATTGTCACTCAGATCCAGTTCCACCAACTGGGCCCCAGCTGTGATGAGGGCCTCCCCCAGGGAGATCTAAGGAGCACACGAGGGATCAGGAGGGAACGCCCTGTGTTTCTGCTGAAAAGCTCGGGGGTGGTAAAAGGGGCTCCCACCACCCCAAGAGTCCTAACGGTTAACTCCATCGGCTCAGCGCCTCCCCTGCTCCACTGCCACTGTACAAGGTGACCTGACCACAGGAAGCCCCCTGCCTCCTCTTTCCAGTGCCATGGAGAGCCACCCCCCCAAACCACAGACATCCGCTGGGATCAAGACGGCCAGAGCTGGGGGACTAAGGAAATGGGGCAGGACAAAACCGGCGTCTGGGCTTGGAACATGTTCAATTCTACACCCTGACCCCGGGCTCCTCTGAGTGCTGTAGAAATCCAGGCTCCAAATGGCAGAAATCTGCCCAGGCTGTGACAGCAGCAGCCCGACAGTGCTCTGTACTGTGCTAGGCCAGAGGAGTGAGGAATAGAAGGAATGGGGCAGGACACACGCGTGGGGGCTGTGTGGCACTCCACTGGTCTGAAGGAAAGAACCCAGCACCCAAATGGGATCTGTTCTAACCTCCCAGAAGTCATTAGGCTGGTGAACCACGCACGAACTATTCGGCACAGAAGGAGGCTGAGACACTTTTGAGATCCAGCCTCCAAGGAAACCACCATCAGAGGGGTGGGAGTCAGAAAGTGAGCAACCAGGGTAAGTAATGGGGGAAAAAAGAGTGAAATTACCAAAGATCTCAGGAAGAAAAAACCTCAAAAGACCTTGACCATAAGCAGACAAATCAAAAGGGAAAACATTAACAGGCCTCCAGATTTACTATATGACTTCCAGCCTCTGTGAATAAATATTGCAAAATAAAGGAACAAGATTCAGCATCTGATGAAGCAGGGGACCCTGTGGATTTTGAGAGCATGAAACCACAAATAGCTGTTCCTGAGTGACTGAAAAGAAAAATGAGAAATGGGAGTGCAGAATTTACGGCCTTCACAGCAGAAGTAATTGGCAGAACAGAAATACTTAAATCTGCACCAGCAAGTTTCAACAAAGAAACAAGAGAGGACAATTGATTGGGAATAAAAACACATAGGAGTGAAGGACAGTCTGGAAGAAGAGAAGTAGAAAACAGTAACTTTAAAAGAAAACATGCCCTCCATGCAAGCAAAACATATTGATCTCAAAGACAGGATGCACAGAGACAGCCTAAGGATTATAGGTCTCCCAGAAGAATATAACAAATGAAAAAACCCTACACACCATAATGTAAGAAATAATATATAAAACTGCCCAGAACTTTTGGACACAAAAAACCAAGTTACCAATCAAAAGAATCTGTTTTCAGAAAAGAAACCAAAAGCTGTAAACTCCAAGACATACTGTGGTTAACTTTAACAATGCCACTGGGAAATAAGATATACAGGCAATGGGGTATAGAAATCTATCCTGCCCCACAGGAAAATTGAAGGGGAAGGGGATAAGAGAAGCAGAGGCAGAGATAGAAGGGGGGGCAAATTAGGGGAAGGGGTATTCAGAATGCATGCCATTTTGGGGTGGGGGGAAGGATAAGATGGGGAGAAAATTTGGAACTCCAAATATCGTGGAAGTGAATGTTGAAAACTAAAAATAAATAAATTTTAAAAAAAGAAACAGAAAAAAAAATTAACAATGCTATTGAGAAACAACATATTCTATAAGCAACCACGAGAAAGACCTTCAGATAAAAAGGAAAGGAAATTCAAATAACACAAGGCTATTTGGCACCCATCAGAAAATGCAGGAAGGAATGGAAGTGTGTTCTGAAGAGCAACAGAGCTCAGGATGCAACCCAAAGTGACCTAGCCGGCAAATCTGAGCTTAATCATGAATGAAAACAAGATGGATGCTCAACAATAAAAAAGCATTCAAAACATTCTTAGAAAGAAAATCAGACATGAAGAGATTATTTGCTTTTCAAACACCCTTGGCAACGGAAATGCAGTATCCAAGGGCAGTAACAGCAACAGCGTGACAGCAGAGAGACCATCAAGAGACTTCTTTGTGTACACCAGGAGACAGAGGTGGGGAGGCCGGCCCGAGGCACCCGGCGGCACCCCACCTAGAGTGACTCAGTGTTTTATGTAGGACTAAATTGCAAAATGGGAGCATGAGAGGAGAGGAGGATAGAAGGGAAGTGGGTGACGTGTGCTGGTCAAGTCCAGGGTCAGTGATGAGGGAAGGGGACCCCCGCGGTCTCTCAGAAAAAAGGAGAGCCTGCAGGGCAGTGAGAGGGAAGGAAAGGATACCAGATGAATGTTCTTATGAGCGCAGGAAGACGTGGAGCTTGCCTTGCGTGTCGTCTGTGAGGATCTGCTGCTTGGAGAAATCACCAATCTTGCTTGGGAAGGGGGAGCCACAGAGGGCAACTGAAGCCTGGGGAGACGGACGACGTGGACTCAAGGAAATTTTGAGGCAAATTAGGAAAGAAGGGGAACAGAGGGAAAGCCAAGGTCAGTAGGGGCTGCATAATCAGGGAGTAAACGGCGAAGGGGGTCTGCCATGGGGCAGTCCTATCACCTGCAGAAATGGACATTTTTGTGGGAGTGAGGCACAATGGAAAAGGGTGAGTGAGAAGCAGAGGCAGAAACTGTCCCAGAATGGGTATCTCAGAAGTTTTGATTTAATGAGGAACAGAGAACAGAAAGCATCTAAACAACAAGAGGGGCCGTGAACCAAAGAATGAGGGTCTAAAGTAGACAGAAAGGGAGGGCAGTAGTAGAGAGTGAGGGAGAGAGAGAAATCCTCTCTGGAAAGGGGTGCAAAAAATAAAAATGTAAAAACTAATAGGACAAGTTGAAAGGGAAGAGAGGAACAGGAAGAACTAAATGACCAGATAAAAACGGGAAAGAAAGAGGAACAAATAACCCAAATTCCAAAGGGAAATGGGTAACAAACAGGAGGAGAGAGGCTCAGAGATGAGGGGAGAAGAACCCGTGGGAAGACTTCTCTGGACTGCTGCAAAGGGCAGCCCCCAGAACCAGAAGAACATCATAGACAGAAATGGCAACATTGTAACTTTGACCAGGGCCGCCAGTCAGGGCCTCTGATCGCTACAATGATGCAAAACAATTCTGAAAGACCCAGAAGGAAACATGCCATCCACCTCCAGAGAGAGAAGCCTGCGGGTTTTCACTTTATTTTTCTTGTTGTTTTTTTTTTTTTGGGGGGGGGGGAGGATTATGGTTAATACAGAATGTTTCGTATGACTTCACATGTATAATGGATATCATATTGCTTGCCTTTTCAATGGCCATGGGCAGGGCCTGAAGGGAGAGAGAGAGAATTTGGAACTCAAAATAAAAAAAACAAAAACAAACAAATAATCTTTTAAGAAAAAGAACCAGTGGGAATAGAATCACCTTAAAAAAAAAACTAAGCTAAAGTAACTGGAGATAGGACTATGTTTACAGTGGAAGAGAGGAAAAAATCAGAACTTAAAAAAAAAACTCTGCTATGAGAGACAAATGGGGGAAAATATAAACCAAGCTCTCAAAACTTTAAATGTGAATGGATTAACTAATCCAATAAAATGAAAAAGTGACAGGTGGCTATGAAAACAAAAGGCCACAATCTGTTGCCTACAAGAAATACATTTAAGAAACAAAGACATATAAAGAATAAAACTGAGTGCTTAGAAAAAAAATTTACTATCCATCAAATGAATTCAAAAAAGCAGAAGTTGCAATCATGCTATCCAAAGCAAAAACAAACATTCAGAAATAAACTATACATGATGCTGAAAGCAACCATAAAAAACAAACCAACATCAGTATCATACTATATATGCTCAGAATATAAGACTATCATTGTTATGAAAACATCATTGTGCAGAAATCATGAATACGATAAACGCAGAGAAGCATGTCAAGACATGAACAGATACCAAGTGAAGCGAGCAGAACCAGGAAAACACTCTACACAGCGACAACAATGTAGTTGAAAGAACAGTAACATTATAACTGAAGTTGAATGCTGTGAAATTGCGATGACCAAGCTTGGCCAGGGTGGTCCCAGAAGCTAGGGGAGGAGAGAGCGCTCGGATTGAGAGGGAGATTAGGACCGAGGAGAGGCCACTGAACTTGGCAGCGAAAGGACGTCTCGGAGAAGCACATCCACCAGGCGTGGAAGCAGTCTGAGAAGAGCTGAGAAGTGAGGGGGTGGCAGCGAGGAAGGGAAGGTAAAGGATTCTTCCCAGGGGTCTGGCAGTGAAAGGGAGGAAGAGATGAAGAAGGAGAACAGGAAGGAATGGCAGGAGGTCCAAGGGAAGGGTTTCTTTAAGGATGGTTGAGACCTGAGTATTCTTGCAAGAAGCAAGGAAGGGTCAGCAGAAAAGGTCACACCAAAAATGACAGAGACACACAGGAAATCACTGGCGGGGCAAGCTCCGGCAGAAAACAAAGCAGGGCTCACCCCAGAGGACGAAGAAGTACAGGTAGGTGTCAGGAAGGACCAGCGAGAGGTGGCAGGGAAAGCGAGGCCTTGCCAACAGCAACATCCTGACCAGCGGCTGTGTGAAGGCAGCCAAGGACACTGAGGGGTGGCAGGTCATGGGGTCAAAGGGGCCTGTCATTCAAGAGCCATTCCTAGAGGAATGCACATTAAAGTGACCCAGAGGCCTCAGCTCATACTCACTAGATCGGTGAAGATGAAACAGAGGAAAATAAACGTTGGAGGGGCCACGGGGGATAAAAGGCACATTAAGATGTGTGTGCACACCTATTCTGGAAAGTAATTTGGAACTATGCCTTAAAAGTCGCTGCATTTGACCCGGAAGTGCCACAAAGAGGTCAAGGAAAGGGGAAAAGGACCCAAAGGAAAAAGATATTTAAAGCAGCTTTTTGTCAGAGCAAAGAACTGGAAACTAGAGGGGTGTCTATTGACAGGGGAATGGCTGAACAAATTACAGTATAACAATGTAACGAAACCATACTATTCTGTGGTTTCAGAAAAGCCAGGTAGATCTGCATGAACTAATGCAGAGTGAAATACCAGGAGAATAAGTTATACAGTTACAACTATGAAGAAAAATGCCTTTAAAAACCTGCTGATTCTGATCAACGCAATAAGGACCCAAGATGAGAACCAGACCTACAATGCCGGACGTAGCCAAGGCAGGGATCGGCTTGGCTGGACTGTGCAATAAGGGCCTTTTGAAGATACAAAACTTAGGAGCTTTAATATAAAGCTTAGAGTACGCTTAGATTTTTGGGATACCCTGTACTTGTAACAAGGGCTTTTTTTTTTTGTTCAATTGTATGGGGAGAAATGGAAAGGAGAGAAAAATATGCTTATTAAATGAAAAAAAAAATTAAAACAAACCTTCCCCCTACCCCTAGGCCTGTTATCCCCAGCAGCTCCCAGCAGCCCTCTCTACCTTGAGTGGGACCTGATCCCTTACAGCTACATCACTTGTAGAAGCCTCGTTACGCAGAATTAAGCATCACAGGCAGCTACAATACTGTCCCATCTCATTGTGACCCACACCCCCACCCGGAGCGCTCATCATTAACTGTGCATTTGCTCCCGGCACCCCAACTGCCTCCAAGGGGCACCCCCCATCAGTAAAGTGGCTCCTGTCTATCCTGGCCTAGCTCCACCCCACACCTCACAGCCCTCGTCTGGACGTTTCACCTCTGACAGCCCCACCAGCGATTTGTGATGAGGTCCCTCGTTTGCCTCTTTCCCTTTCGACTGTAAGCCCCTGGAGAAGAGCGTCTGTGTTCTAGCTTTGAGTGCCCACACTTATACACAGGGGGAGCTTAATAAATGTTTATCCAACTGCCTGTTAAATTAGGTTTTTAGATAACAGTGTCTTCGTCCCTTTCAGACTGGTTGCTCAGAAACGGATTCCGAGGGCAAGCCTACCCTCAGTCATCTTTGCCCAAGCGGTGGCATCGGCTGCCAACCCTCAGGTGGCCATCTTGCTCCCCTTTCACTGTGGCCTAGCCCAGCCCCCAGGGAGACCCACCCGCCTGCCCACCCAAAGGTATCTGAACAGCTCAGGGAAGGGACAGCTTCTGAGCGGAAGCAGGGGGAGGTGGAAGGTGACGGCAGCCTTGTTGACCCTCCTCACTCACCAGGGCAGGAGGGATCTCCGACCTCAGCCTCCCGGTGAACATGTCGCTCCAGTGGCATCGCTTAGGAAGAGAGGAGGGAAAGAAACAAAGGAGAAAGGCTGAGTTGCTGGGATGCCTTGGACTCCCGCACTCAGATTAGGCTCACACCCAAGCCCTGACAGGGACACACAGAGTGTTCAAGCTGGCAGGTACTAAGTCGAGGCCCCTCCTGAGGGAGGAGGAAATCAGCTTTGGCCCCACAGCCCCCTAGTGGGAGAGCCTGGTCTCTGCCCCCCAGCCCCCCTAGGCAGCACCGAGAAGATGACGCTGCTTGGCCGCTCACACAGACAGGAACAGAGGGTGTGTAGCCGTCTGTAGGCTCCTGGCTGGGGAGCTAATGGTGTGAGAGCTGCCGGCACCTTAGGGAGGATAAAGCAGAGGGGACAGCCTCCCTGCACTCAGGTCATGCCCGGAACACTCTGTGCCCAGGCTCTGGCCTCCCATTTCACAAACCCACTGACAACTGTCCAGAAAGGCAGACAGAAGATGGTGAGAGACACGGGACACCGAGCTTAGCCAAGAAAAGGCTTAGAAGGGGGAACGAGGTGACAGTTGCCCTGCTGCGCCGCCCACCCCCCCCCCAGGAGAAACACTAAAGATAAGCACATAGCTAGAGAGGGCAGAGTGAGGTCCAGCCAGGCAGAGACAGGGAGAAAGGTTTTGAATCACTCAGAACAGAAGAAAGAGCTCCTTAGTGAGCAGGGCCCTCCAACAGGCCTGGGTAGCCTCGCTGGTGAGGGCTCCCCTCCTGGCACTAGAAGCCAGGTCAGGAGAGTGGCCCTACCCTGGCAAGGCTGGCTCCCAATAATCCAATGCTCCCTCCAAGCTCAAAAGCTCAGCAGCTCCTGTTGGGAACCCTTGGACAAAATCCCTATTTTCATATGCTTTATTTCACCTGAATCAGAGTTTGGGGCCAAAGAGGAGAATCCGCTTCCAGGGCACCCGCCCCCCCCCCCCCCGCCCCCCCCCCCTCCCTAGACACCTCTCCTCTCTGCACGTCATCTCTGCTGTTAGGACGTGAGCTTCCTGAGCACAAGCCTCATTCTTCATCCTCTGTCTCTCCAGTGTCCAGCACAGGGCCAGCACAAAGTAAGTGATTAAAAAATGCTCTTCTATTCATTCACTAATTCAGTCACTCATTCACCGGGATAAGAACTAGAGCCGTGATTTCACTGCTGTTGGGAACTCTGAGGGGAGGACACGCCCTTTTCTAGAACACTGGCTTTAGGGCTCTAAGTCCCAGCTGAGGAACCCAGGATCCCAGCCCGACCCCCCAAGCCCCATGAGCTCTGGGGGACAGAGGAGGAATGAGACCTGAGGCCCCCCAGGCAAATCCCAGGGAGGATGACCTCTCTCGAGGGTCCCTTCCAGGCCCAAATCATTCGCTCCTAAATATTTCCTCTCCTGAAACTGCTCGGCCCTTTCTTGGCCTCCGACTAACGCTGCCCTAACGCTGCCCTGAGCGTGAAGAGCCCGCGGGTGGGGGGCAGGGCATGGCGTGTCCCCGTGGCCGTGCCGGGGCTGTTGCTGCCCAGGATTCCTTTCCTCCAGGGCCCACCTGGACTTTCGGGTGATATGTTTATCTCTAGAGGCCCACGCTCTCAGGCAGGCTGGGGCCAACAGTGCAGGCCTCCCTGGTGGAACAACCATCTTGTTATTTTGCTAAGAACATCCCAAAGAACGAACCGTCCCGGGCCAGAAGAGAGCAAAACAAGCCAGAGCCGCAGCTGCCAATGTTTGCTTGGCCGTGACCTCCTCAGGTAAAGCCAGGCACGGCTGGTCGGTGGCCTCTGAAGGCTCTCTCCGAGCCTTCATGAGTCAGGGAAAGAAAGGCCTTTACGAGGCGCCTGACCCCCTGGACCCCGGCAGCCTCTCCTGCTGGGGAAGTGGGGAGAGCGGCCGGCCAGGCTCTCCTTCCCTGTGCCTCCGCTGCTTCGAGCCGGCATTCTGCTCCTGGCACTGAACACAAAGGAGCGGCAGGGAGGAGAAGGGGAAGGAATGAGTGGAGGAGCACCGCAAAGTGCCTTCTCTGAGCCGGCACGAACAGACGCTGAGGACAGCCCTGCCCCGTTCCCAAAGAGCTCACGCTCTCACTGGGGAGACAACACAGGGCAGATGGAAAGGCCCAGAGACGCCAAGGGAAGTGGGGCAGATGCCAAGGCCCAGGAGCACCCAGGGAACCCTGGCAGGTCAGATGACGGTGCCCCAGGGGCTGGAGCAGGCAAGGCCCTGTTGGCTCTGACCTTTCTGGGGGCCCTCAAACACACTCACCTTCAGCTCCGATTTCTTCTCCAGGGCCTTGGCGATGACTTTGGCCGCCTCCACACCCACTGTGTTGCCTTCAAAACGCAGGGCCTCCAGCCCATCGAATGCCTCTATCTCTTTAATCACCTCCTGAGCTGAAAGGAGCCACATTGTTAGAGCACCCTCAACTCCAGGAGCCAGCAGGGGGACTGAGGCCTGTGCTCTGAGCAGGGCTTACTGAGAGGCCCACCTCCCACACTGAGGAACTGTGCGGCCTTGGGCAAGGCGACTGAGCTCTGAGCGTGCTTCCTCATAAGTAAAAGGTCGTAATGATGCCCCTTTGCACTACCCGCCTCACCAGGGTGTGCACAATGGGTGAGGAAAGCGCTTGGTGACCTGGAAGCCCCAGAGGAAACCCCCAAGGGGATGGGGCCCTCAGGAACGAGCTAGAGCAGCCCCAGTCAGGGTGTGAAGGGTCACCGCCTCAGCCACTTGTCCGAGCCCAAAGACACAAAGCACTTTCTCCACCATCGTGCTGGGAGGTCCACAGTTCAAACACCAACATCCCCATTTAATAGATAATAACACATTAAAACTTCAGTGGCTGGTCCACGAAGGCTGAAGCTGAGCTGGGAACGCCCAAGGACCGTGGCCAGGACAGCACTCACTTCTGGGCTATGTGCTGGGTACAAACAAAAGGGAACACTCTGCTTTCCATGAGCTTACAGGTGATTACTGAGCACGCCTAGCATGGAGCTCCCTTCACCCAGAGGGAAAAATGGGCCTGAAGCAGATCCATTGTCTGACTGTGTTTCTCACCCACAAATTAGTGATGCCTCTGTGGGGGAAGGGTAGCACTGCACCCATTGTACAGATGAGGAAAGGCCAGAATCCAGATGGCTCTGACACCTGCCGTGGTATCAGGCTCTCTCTCCTTTAAGGGACAAGCACCGTCTGGAGACCAGAGCCACTGCCTGTCACCTGGAACCTCTCACGGTGTGCCCAGGCACTGGCCCCCAAACCTGGACACAGAGCTCAGCACACAAAGCCAGGGACATGACAAGCAGAAGCCCAAGATGCGCCTGTGACAGGGGCATCGAGGGACATGCGACAAGAGGCCCAGGAACGATCGTCTTTTCAGGTTGGTTTGGTTTTTGTTGTTGTTGTTATTGTTTTTGAGTTAGGCAATGGGGTTAAGTGACTTGCCCAGGGTCACACAGCTGGTAAGTGTTATGAGTCTGAGGTCGGATTTGAACTCAGGTCCTCCTGACTCCGGGGCTGGTGCTCTATCCACTGCACCATCCAGGCTGAGGGGGAAGAGTGACAGGGGGTTGGGGCTCACCATCTTCTGCTGTGTTCAGTTTGAGGCTTTTGCCTTTGAAGCTCAGCTGTCCTCCGCCCACCTGGGTTCTGGCCAGGCTTTCGGCGAGCTTGGCAATATCCTCAGATGCCATGGTCTCTGCTGCTGTGTCAAACGTCCTCCCCAGGCTGTGGAGAAAGGCACCATCTCTCATCAAAGCCATCCCACTTGTTTGGTATTTCACAATCCCCATAATGCCTTGGTGAGATCTACAGGGCCTCCCATCCCAGGGAGGATGAGGGCGTTTGCTTGCCTAAGGTCCCAGCTAAGAAATATCAAAGTCAGGCTCGAAGCCCAGATGTGCTGGTCCCAACGCCAGGGCTTTGGCCGTATCGTCGCCAGAGCAGAGGCCAGAGGGTGTTAAACTTGAAAGACACACGCTCTCCCTGAAGCAACAAACACTTACTAAGCACCTACTGTGCTGAGCACAGTCCTAGAGGCAAACCCAAAGTACAAGCAAGACCTGCTCCCTGCCAGCAAAACGTGTCTGTCAAGAGGGGAGAGACATCAACACGGTGACACATCACACACTGTTGCTGCTACGAAGTGCCATGCAAGGGGGAAAGGGGATGGCTGCAAGTGACTGGGGGCAGAGGCAAGGCTTTCTGCAAGAGGGAGCCTTTTAGATGGGCTTCAATGGACAGATGGGGAAAAGGATTCAGAGCTCGAAGGGACCTGCGGGGGCGGCATCCAGTCGAAATCCCTCGTTTCAAGGTAAGGGAGGCCCCAGGCAGTCACTTGCCTGGGGTTGTAAGGCATTGAGGAGCACAGGCAGGATCCAGAGCTGGTCCCCACGTGCAGGTCTCTCTGCCGGGCCAGGCTTCCAGACCCGAGCATCTAGCTCCTACTAAGATAGGCCTCAAATAGCAATCGCCTACATAAGCCGAAACCCTGGGCAAAAGGGCGTTTCATCTGGCCTGACCCACTGGAAGGGCCGGCCGGCAGAAGAGATGCCACCTCAATGCTCTGCCCTTTGCTCTCAGTCTCTGCTGCCCCCTGACTCCCCCGGCTGGGACAAAATGGGCAGAACCATGGGATTTCCTTAACTTGGAGGCCGGCTGTCAAGCAGGGCTGGAGATCCAGAAGAACTGTGACTAGTGCTTCTGGGCCACATCTCCCACTGCCCTCTCCCAAACAGAGCGGAGTGGTTAAAGCCAGACATCCAGGGAGAAACCCAGTGCCTTTGCCGGCTTGCCTGGAGTGGTGGGAAAGGGGGGAGGAAAGGGATTGTCACCTAGAGACTGAAGGCTCAAACTCATGACCAGTTGTCCCATCAAGAGCTAAAGGCAGGAAACTCAGGCTCCTGCATCACAAAAGCCACCATCACAATAGACTGGTCCCCACCCCCACCAAGGGCAGAGCAGCCCAGAAAGAAGCCCCAAGTCGAGGGCTTGGACCTGCAGACCGGCCTGATGGGGCCCCACCAAAGAAAGTCAAGGCACAGACCAATGGAAGCCAGCTAGTTGTCTCGGGGTACCACCCTCTCCAGGGGACACAAAATAGCAACCTGTCGGGGGGCTTTAAAGGGCAAGTCTACCCCGAGTTAAGGGAAAGTCAGGCAGAGCAGGAGAGGTTCAAGTACCTGGGTAGAAATTAGGGCAATGTCAGGATTCTGAAGCAGAAAGCCAAAAAATCCTCAACAACCCCACCAGCCCCTCCCACACTTCATATACATAACAGAGCTAATCAGCGACATTCACGGTCTGTCCGTCACAGTGATGAGCACTCCACTGGGGCCTGATTTATAGTTATTAGACCCTGGCTACAGTCCCCTCTGGCTCCAAGTTCTAACCAGTCCCAAGGGGTGGGTTTCTTCCTAAAGCCCTCTGGCTCACCTGGTGGTCTTACCCTCAGAGAACTGCATTCACACGATCCTTGCTTTCTAGCAGTCACATCCTGGCCTTGCTGGGCCTGGCTCAGCCCACCAGGGCTCAGGGCAAGGTGAGGAGACAGTCCTCTCCAGGGGGCCGACTCCCTCCGGTTGGAGACCCTCCCAAACTGAGCTCCTGCAGACTCTTTGGCCTAAAGTAACCTTGGAGAAGCTTTTTTCTAGAGCCTCTAATTAGCAGGCAGCCAGTGTTGTCCCCTTTTGTGACCTAACCTTTCCTGTGGGTTCTATCTCTAGACGGATGGTAAACCCTGGGAAGGCAGTGACACTGTCTCCTTTTTGTAGCTTCTGCAAGGCTTAGCACATGACCTGGACCTGAACAGACACCCAACCAATGCTTCTGGAGCAATCAAGCAATCATCGAGTATTTGTGAAGCCTCTGCTCTGTCGCAGGCACTGTCCGAGGTCCTGGGAAGGCTGACACAAAATGGAGAAGTTCTGTCCTCAGGGAGCTTACCTATCCGGTACAGAAAGTTGAGTGAGTGTGTGAGTGTGTGTGTGAGACAGAGAGAGGGAGAGAGAGGGAGAGAGAGAGAGTGTGTGTGTGTGTAAAATGCTGGTTGTTGTAAACAAGCCCAGTTCCAGGATGGTGGGCAGCTGAGGGTACAGAGGGGCACAGTGGGAGGCAGTAAAGGAGAATCCCTGGGAGGGAAAACCAGGCTGCGCCCCAGATCTGCCCAGAAACACTGGGGACTTTGAGAGTGTGGAGTCCTGGCCCTTACAAAATGAGAGGGTTGAAGCGATGCCCTCTCCAGGCCTGGGGCCTCCGAAGGCAGGAACTAGAACCAAGGGCCTAGGTTCTCACTCTCCCACTAGTATGAGCCGGGGCACATCAGGCAGCCCACCTAAACTCGGGGCCTCAGTTTTCTCCTCTGTACAAGGCGGGGGCTGAGCTGGACGGTTGCTAAAGGTCCCTTCCCGTGTCCCCGGGGCTTCGGTCTTCTTTGAGGATCTGATCTAAGGCCAACAGGCTCTGTGCTCTCTACATGATGTAACAACCCTGAACCTGAGACAAGATGATGAAGGGGGGCAAAAATCCCAGGTCTGGGGAGTCGGCAGAGCGAGGCTCAAGGCTCTGAACGTGCACAGTCAGGCAGGCAACCTGGGGCGGGGTCCCCTCTGACCTCGGTCTCGATGAGCCTAGAACTCCACCCCCACCCACCGCCTCCAAGAGTCCAGGAAGTCCTCGAGACTGAACATGTTCTAGCAAAATAATCCGTCCAGGCTCAGGTCCCCGAATGGACCGCCACTACTTGCCGGGTATTCTGGGATCAAGACCCCTCCCTTCTCCGGGCCTCAGTTTCCCCAGCTGTAAAAGGTAGGGGTTGAGCCAGATGATGTTTACGGCCCCTTCCAGCTTTGAATCGCTTTGCTGTTCCATCTCTGGGCCTCGGTTTCCCCACTTGCAAGCCCCCCCCCCCCCCCGCAGAGGCAGGTGCGGACGCAGATGCGGCCGGGGACGGGCCCTCTGCCCCCTCCGCTTCCTGCCCGGAGGGGCCCCGCGGGAGCCGCAGGACTTACGTGCGCCGGCGGGCGGCCGAGCCACGGACACCTCGTGCAGCGGCGGCGGCGGCGGCGTCCTCAGACCTCGCGCTCGCCGCCCTCCTGCGCACGCGCACGACTTCTCCCCGGCAAGGGTGGGGGGAGGAGAAGGGGGGGTCGCGCGCTGGGGAGAGGGGGGTGAGGGAATCACACGCGGGAGCCGAGGGGCGCGCGGCAGGCGGTGGCGTAACACCGCGTCACGATAGGCTGCTGACCGACAGCCGCCCACCCTCGTCGCTCGCTCACTCCCTCCCACACACAAACGCACACTCACACGCGTCTCGCCCCGGTCTCCGCCAACAGCACCCGCGCCTCCGGGCCGCCGATCGATGATGGCGGCGAGGGAGAATTTTTGAAAGCCGGCAGTTTCTTTCCTGCGCTCCGATTTGCTCAGGGACTCTCCGCCGGTCGTCTTTTCCGCCGGCGGACCGGGGGAGCCGGGAAGTGTAGTTCGGCCCCTTCGGCTCGTCCTAGGAGCCGCACCCCTTTCTGACTACAGTACCCATAGAGCAGTGCGCGCCACAAGCCGGCTTTCCTCCCTTCGCGTTTAGGTTCCCTCTCGTTCCCGCGACATCATCGACCATCGGACTGGTCCGTGGGCTGGACGAGGAGACTACCATTCCCGAGGTGCACCGGGGCTGCGCCTGCCCTCCGCCTTCGCTTCTCGCAACGGCCGACTGTCAACAACTTTATTTACAAACCTGACGGACAAAATCTAAGCACTGGGGCTCCCTCTGGTGGCTGATTCTCAACCTCTTTTACTCCTCAAAGCGAGGATGGGGGCGGCGTTGGCTCCGTTCTTCACGGTTCGCAAAGAGGGGGCTGCCCCAAGCTGGGGAGGAGGGGCAACGTGGAGAACGCGCTGTTACGGGAGTGGTCCGAAGGAGCGAACCGCGAGCCAGCGAAAAATGCCTCTAATCATTACTAATAAAAGAAATGCCGATGAAAACAACTCTGAGCTTCCATCTTACAGATTGGCGGAGATGACGAGACAAAATGGCGATTGTTGGAGAAACTGGGGAAGGGTGGCGTGCTAATACATTGTTGGTGGAGCTGTGGATCAGTCTGGCAGTTTGGAATCCGATTTTATCCCCTAGTCCCCAAGTCACTGAATTGTTTGTACCCCAAAGACCAGAAGGACAGGACTAAAATATATAAAACTATAGCAACAACTTTAGCAAAACGATATATACATATATATACACATACATACATACATACATATATACACAAAAAAAACAGGGAATGGTTGAACAAGTTGTGACATATTAATGTGATGGGAATTATTGTTAAAAGAAATAAGGAATATGGGAGATTAGGAGTAATTTGAGAAGACTTGTGAACTGAGACCCAGTGAAATGAACAGAATCAGGAAAACGATGGTAATATAAAGAGAAGAAAAAAAAAACCCCAACCTTTAAAAGACTTCAGAACTCCGGTCCTGGCGAGTCATTGACTAATTAGCTCTGATTTAGGGGACTGACCGTGAAGCCTGACTCCCTCCCCGTGGACGTCACCTGTGCATGTCCAACTATGGAAAATGGGTTGATTTGTTTTCCTTATTTTCCTTATTATAAGGGGGAGGGAGCTTCTTTCTTGGAGGCAAGATAAGTTAGTGGATAATGACAGCATCGCGTATTGATAAAACACTTAACAATATGCAGAGGAAAGTGAAAAATCCAGGAGAAACAAACAGGGCAATTTTGTTACCACTTTGTTACATTTGATGTTGTTTGGCTGTATCTTGGCAAAGATACTATAGTGGTTTGCCATTTCCTTCTCCAATGTGTTCCCATTTTACAGTTGAGGAACTGAAGCAAAGAGGAGTTAAGTAACTTGCCCAGGGTCGAACATCTGGATTTGAATGCAGATCTTCCAGACTGCAGGTCCAGTGCTCTACCGCTGAACCACCTAGCTACATTTGATATATACTTAAAAAACAAATACCAAACTACTAACTGAAGTGCATTTTCATATACCATCCTCTTTAAGAGGGGGTTCTTTGTATATCGGAATGTTAGTGTTCATTGATGATTAAGTTCAATTTTCAAAAAGACATTTATTAAGAGCCTACTGCAACAGACACCGGAAATATCAGTGGAGACAAAAAGAAAGACCAAAAAGGAAATACAGTACTTGCCCTCTAGGACCTTCCATTCTGGGAGGAGGGGAGGCGGAACAGCACAAACACTGGTAATGCCAAATATATGCAAATAAACCCCAAAGACCAAAGGCCTTGATGGACCTGTTAAAAACTGGGCTGTTGCAACATTGTTCAATGATCAACTCTGATAGATTTAGCTCTTCTCAGCAATACAGTGACGTAAGACAGTTCCAAAAGACTCATCGTGGAAAATGCTATCCCCATCCAGAGACAGAACTGTGGAGTCTGAATGCAGATAGAAGCATACTATTTGCTCTTTTTTGTGGTTGTTTTTTTTTCTTTCTCGTGCTTTTCCCCTTTTGTTCTGATTCTTCTTTCGCAACATGATTAGTGTGGAAATATGTTTAATATGATTGTACATGTATAACCTATATCAGATTTCTTGCCATCTTGGGGAGGGGAGAGGGAAGGAAGAGAGGGAAAAAAATTTGGAATTAAAAATCTTATAAAAGTGAATGTTGAAAACTAACTAAATAAATAAAATGAGGGGGGAAAAAAACCCGGGCTGATGAATTGGGGTCCAGTTGATCAGGAACATGGCCAATCAAGCAAATGCTTTATAGGGAAATTTCACTCAAATGTGTTTCTTTTCCACGGAGGCAAAAGAGTGGAATCTCCCATGAGGGCTTTGCTTTTTAAAATTAACATCAGACACAACAAAGCTTTCTTCAATAACAAGGTAAATTGGAGTGGCTTATTTAGTCAAGCACGTACAGGCATTCCAAAGTGAGGGAGGTGGTTCCTGAACCAGGGTAGTCACCTGAGCTGGTGGAAATGAATCCTTCACAAAGATGCTCAGGCTTCTGGGGCCTATCACATTCTGAGACTGTAGGCTCCTGGATCTTGAACCAGAAGGGACTTGGGAGGCCATTGAGGCTGGCCCCCTCATAGACCCAGGGCGGTAGTAACTTCCCCAAAGTTGCAGAATCTTAGATGTAAACCTACTTCCCTTTTACCTTGTCTAGATCTTGGACATGCAGATTTGTTTTGCATGGTGAGGGCTAGCATTTATAGTTTGCATGTTGTCATTAGAATGTAGGCCCCTTGGGGTAGCTAGATGGCAAAGTGGATAGAGCTCTGGCCTTAGAGTTAGGAGGACCTGAGTTCAAATCTGGCCTCAGATACTTGACACTTACTAGCTGTGTGACCCTGGGCAAGTCACTTAACCCCAAATTGCCTCACCAAAAAGCACAACAAAAAAAAATGTAAGCCCCTTGGAGATAGGGGGTGCTTTTGCTGTACCCCCAGCACTTGGCATAGTACCTGGTACATAGAAGTGATTTATCAATGCTTGTTGATTGATTGATGGAGGTACAGGCAGGGGAATCACATGACTTACTCCAGATCACACTGGTAGTAACAGAAGCGGGATTCAAATTGAGGTCCTTTGATTCCAGAACCACAATTCTTCCCACCATATCAATTGTTTCCCTTATTCTGCTCTTGACTAGAAACAACTTCATGGTAAAGAACACTTAACAGAACAACAACAAAGGCCCAAAATGGGTTTACACCCAGGAGGGAAGCAAAGAAAAGTCCCTAGGCTAAATGATGAGTTAGCGCATCTTCCCAAGGTGGGCAAATCTTTCCCTTTACCTCTAAGTTTTGCTTTTCATAGTCTCCAAGTGGCTAGTAACACCTTGGGTCCCTTGGGGAAGGATCTAGCCACCTCCCAGCACAGCCATGGGATCCACCAGTGGGCAGGGGAGCTGTATCTTCAGCAATTATCCAAACCCTTTAGAACAAACAGAGCCTCTCCCTTCCCAGGACCACAGACTCTGGGAGCTGGAAGAAGAAGCTTCCAGGGGGCAGGTAGGTGGTGCAGTGGATAGAGCATTGGCCCTGGATTCAGGAGGACCTGAGTTCAAATCCGGCCTCAGACACATAACACTTACTAGCTGTGTGACCCTGGGCAAGTCACTTAACCCCATTGCCTGGCAAAAAAAAAAAAAAAAAAGAAGAAGAAGAAGCTTCCAGGTCACTAGACCAAGCTGTGCCTGCAGAAGAATCCCTTCGATGACTTTGGAACCTGAGATGATTCTCTAGCCTTTGCTAGAAGACTCCCAATGAGGGGGAGGCAGAGGTGTGCTGGTGAAAGGTTTAACAGAAGAAGAAGAGAAAGAAAGAAGACATACCCAAGATACACTTTTAAGTTTAATTTGCATTATTTTTTTTTTTTGGTGAGGCAATTGGGGTTAAATGACTTGCCCAGAGTCACACAGCTAGGAAGTATTATGTGTCTGAGGCTGGATTTGAACTCAGGTCCTCCTGACTCCAAGACTGGAGCTCTATCCACTATGCCACCAGCTGTCCCATATTATTAACATTTTCTCCATCTTTTTATTGTCTATATAATCAACAAAACAATCAATCAAATCCTGATTTGTGTTATTGATCAGTCATTTCTGACTCTTCACGACCCCATTTGGGGTTTTCTTGGCAGAGATACTGGTGTGGTTTGCCATTGCCTTCTCCAGCTCATTTTACAGATGAGGAAACTGAGGCTAACGGGGTGAAGTGACTTGCCCAGGGTCACACAGCTAGTACGTATCTGAGGCCAGATTTGAACTCTGGTCTTCGACTCCAACCGCTGTGCCGCCTAGCTTCCTGTGGTTAGTCTTAGGATGGCCCTAAATGTCCCTCATTCTGCTTTCTCCCTCACTCTCCCCATTGTCCCTCACTGTCCCTTTCAATCAAGAAGAATGAGGCTTGGGGCAACCTTGGAGTCAGGAGGACCTGAGTTCAAATCTGGCCTCAGACACATGACACTTACTAGCTGTGTGACCCTGGGCAAGTCACTTAACCCTGATTGCCTCACTGAAAAAAAAAAGCAAAAAAAAAAAAAAAAGAATGAGGCTAACCCATCCCTCACCTGATACCTGGAGACAGACCTCATGACCCCCTCCCCCAGTCTTCTCCAGGCTGAGCATCCCCAGCTCCTTCAACTAATCCCCTTACAACATGAGTTTGAGGCCCTTCCCCATCCTGGTGGATGACCCCTGAAGCCTCCCCATCTTCTCAATATTTCAAAATCTATGGTGTTCAGAATTGAACACATACAGCTTGGTAGCCTGGGACGAACACCAAATTGGGAGATGGAGACCTGAATTCCAGAACTGTCTCTGGCACTCACATTGCCTATTTGACTGTAGACAAGTCACCTATCTCTGAGTCTCAGTTTCCTCATCTGTAAAATGAGGAGTGCCTGACTGGTTTCTACAATTCTCTCCAGCTCTAAATGCAGTGATCTCATTTCATCCTCACAGAGCCTTTATGAGGTAGGCAGGAAAGGAATTTGCCACCTGGCCAACCAGCTAATAATAATAATAGGGCCAGAACCCAAATCTGAACTCAGGTGTCCTGACTCTAGCCCACAGCCATTTCTACCACATATTTGTTTCTCTGGAGCCTGTCATTCTGTTAAAAACTAGTGCTGTGACACTGAGTATTTTTCCTCCCTGGACCTTAGTTTCCTCATCTGTAAAAAGAAAGGGTGCAACTCCACTGTTTCCCAATTGCGGTAATTTATAAGGGCCGTAGATAATGAGGTACCCTAGCTCGTGAATTCAAGAGACAGTGATTGTGGCATAATTGTCAAAAGCACTTATGTGCTTATTGTGTTCAAGGTGCTGTGCTAAGCCCTGGGTAGGGCTCTCTACTTGGAGAAA